GGTTTCAAGCTACGAAAATCGAATTAAACTAAAGTTGCATAAAAATTTTATAATATAATTTTATAATATATTTATAATATATACATAATAACATTTCTCAATGTAACCAGAGTATACAAAAGACAAGAGGGCACTTCTGAACCATTGTCTGTGAACATATTTCATCACTGTATCCTCAAATGCAAGTTAAAATTCTGCCATGCAAAGATGAAAACAGATGTAAACAGGAGCTAGAAACGCAGCTGCCTTCTCTGGAGCCAATATCATTTAGGATGGACTGAGGCAAAGTGGAAAAGTGTCCTGTGGTCCGACAAATCATAATTTGACATTCTTTATGGAAATCATGGGTGCCACATCCTCTGGTCTAAAGAGGAGAGGGACCATTCGATAGTGTACAGTTCAAAAGCCAGCATCCATGATGCTATGGGGGTGCATTAGTACACATGGCATGCGTGACTTGCACATCTGTGAAGGCACCATTAATGCTGAATGATACATACAGGTTTTGGAGTGACATTTGCTGTCATCCAGGCAATGTCTTTTCCAGGGACAGTCTTGCTTATTTTAGCAAGACAATGCCAAACCTCACTCTGCAGGTATTACAATAGCATGGCTCCATAGAGAGTCTGGGAGAGCATTCCAGACCTGTCACCTATTGAAAACATTTGGCACATTATGAAACGAAAAATACGATAAAGGAGACCCCAAGCTGTTGAGCAGTTGAAATCCTGTATCAAGCAAAAATGGGAAAACATTTCACTTTCAAAACTACAGCACTTGGTCTCCTCAGATCCCAAATGCTTACAGAGAGTTGTTAAAAGAAGAAGTGATGAAACACACGGTAAACATGCTCCTGTCCCAACTTTGTTAAAATGTGTTGCTGGCATCAAATTCAAAACGGGCATATGTTTTTTCAAAAAAATATAAAATTTCTCACTTTCAACATTTGATATCTTGCATTTGTATTATTTTCTTTATATTTATCATTGCACTCTGTTTTTACTTACATTTTGCACAGCAACCCAAGTTTTTTGGAAAGTGGGGTTGTAGATGGTTGTGTCACTCAGGAGTCAAGTCATTTAGATGGAACATTCTGGGAAAATAAAAATGTTGTCTTTTAAGTAATGTGACATGATGAATCATGCTCAAAACGATAAGGGTCATGAAGTAACACGGTAATTTCGTAATTCATAACTTGAAAAAGTGAAATGAAGAAAAAACTATTACACTGTTTTTGTTGTTTTACCTGTTTTACTGCTTTTTTAAAGGGGGATTCCGGCTATAAGTTACTTATCTTCCTTGGCTTTCTTCTGCATTCACCGGGTAGCAAAAATATACAAATAAATAAAAAATCAAAACAGGCCACCCCAAAAATCTATTCCAAAGCAGTAGTTTGCTCCTCCTACATCATGAGGCTGCAGGGTCTAGAGCCATATTTTCTTGCCTTCATGGACCAAACGGTACAGTTTCTGGTTGACTAGTGCTACACTGGGCTTGGTGGTTGGTTGTACCTTACATAGGTCTTTCATGACCATCTAAAGCTTTTTCAGGTGAATCACTAATATCTACGTATAGAACAAAACATCCCCCATGCTGTGACATAATGGTGGGAAACTCATGTCCATCAGCTGGTGCACCATGTGACCTGAACATGAGGAGACAATATGGCTAGCTGCAGGTAGGCTGCTAAATGTCATGTTCCACAAGTCTGCCAGATAAACCTGGATGTCCCACTTTCTGAAGTGCTGCTGATAAAACTTTCTTCTGCTAGCTCGCTTGTTAGCATGCTAAAGGCCACACGATTAACAAGAACAAAAAGAAAGGCACTACAGCATGGCTCTACTCAAAGTTTATAGCCAGACAAAGCAATTACTCACACACATTATGTATGTAATGCTCAAACTTCTTAAAAACGTTTTGCATTGTAATGTTTGCAGGGCTAGCTGATTAGCTCACTTATCTCACTAACCTGCAGAGAGTGAGCACATTCTATTTGAATTATATAAGTCAATGAGGGCAAGTTAAAAAAAGAATTAAAATGAGGCCCTAGAATTTCCAGTTTCCCAGTTTTATATATGCCTACATCAACTGTATAAGTGTGATGTACAAGTAGGAAAATTGGTATTTCCCAGTTTCTGGCACTACCCAAATGCAGCATATACAACTATTTTGCTAGCTCATTTGAATCCCAGAAAGCAAGCGTATATTGGTCCACTGGCTTGATAAGGTCGGCACCCGGCTGATTGTATGCCACTGCTGGTCCACCCTCTGACCTCCCAGATTATTGTCTTGCATACAAGGTCTAACTAGTTTTTAATCTCCTTACACAGATTTTAAATGCACACAGCCTTTTATTCCAGAAAATAGATTTACACAAATGTTACGAAAAATTGAGAGAAAAAAATAATGACCAGGCCTAATATAAATCTTGTTGTTGGCACTGTGCTAGACTGGTTACAGCTGTATAACTGTCTTTATTTATTATATTCCTATTGAAATGATATACTAAACTAACCTACAAAGCACTATTAAGGAGGAAATGAATGAAAAATAAGTAAATTGGACTCTGAGTGGAAAATGAGTGATAAAAAGTAGCATTTTGTCTAATACTCTGTTTAACCACAAGTAGGCCACCTGGAAAACACTGAAAAAAAGGCCAGTGGGCTGATAGCTTTGCCGTCAGTGGGCCAACAGTGGCCTGCTATCTTCTTGATATATGGGATACTCTTAGAACCAGGCTGTCAGACCCCTACTCCCAGTTCCTGGTATGATGTTAGTGGTTGAGAGGCTAAGTAGCTGCCGAACCTTACATGGAGGGCGTGGAAGGTAGGACATAACGTTTTCAGAAACCCTCAAATACTCATGGATGAATCTCAGATGGCTCACTACTCCCTGCATAGTGCACTGGATAGATTAGTAAACTATGGCTTCTGCGCACAAACAGTGCTCTAAATGTTAGACTGGAAGTCATGGAGCTAATGGTTAAATGTAAATGGATTTCTATTTTACATATAATGCACTTTTTTTTATAGAGTCTTTTATTTTACAATATACATGGTGCACTACATAGGGAGTTGGAAGCATTTTGAGATTCAGTCTCTGTGATTATGAAATAAAACAAAGTCTGCGGGCGTTGGGTGGAAGACATGCAGGTTCGGGCTTGCCGTGTAAACAAACAGCTAATGAGTAATGATTTTCACCTGTCTATGCTTAATGGCAGCCTGCAGTACAAAATATTGTACTAAAAGATTACAAATATTTGTGCAAAAAGTACAAATATTTTCTCTGTTAAAATAGTGCCTCTCATCTAATAAGAGTAAAAGAGATGTTTAATCCACCGTTCACACCTGTAGTCATGAGAGCTGAAAGTGTGGCTGTGGTTCCTAGACAGAGGCCGAGAGAGCAGAAAGTGTGGGGGCTAAAGTTGTGGTGCTGTGACCCTGCAGATGGACACTACTACTACAGTCAGTGTTTTGAGAACGTTGACCAACTACATATTTAATTGAAAAACAGCTTAATTAGTCATGCACATATTTAGTGTAGTGTAGTAGGTAAAATGCTGAATAAAAATAATTTTATTTCATTTCATAAAATTCATACTCATTGTTTTTGATAGCATTTTTTTTAATCTGATATCGCCCACCTCTAATGCCAACATATTACACATTATACACAGGTCTGTTTTTACATTATATAACATGCCAGAAATTTATGCCACCCACATATAAATGTAAAAGGGAAATCCATATATCAGGGGTGCCTAGTGCTGGTCCTGGAGAGCTACACTCTTAAAAAAAGATGGTTCTTCAAGGGTTCTTTAGTAAAGAGAATAGTTCTATGTAGAACTGTAAGAATCACTTGCACGATTAAAGGGTTCTTTGAATGGTGAAATGGTTCTTCAGATTGATGGACAATGTGTTGTAGATGGTTCTATATATAATCATTTTAAAAAGGGTTCTATATAGCACCAAAAAGGTTCTTTTGTTGTTACAATGTCAGAGATATATCAACAGAAGAACCCTTTTTGGTGCTAAATCGAACCATTTTCCATTTCATAGAACACATTCTCCTGAAGAATCAATCTGAAGAATCCTTTCACAATGCAAACCCTTTAATTATGCAAGGGGTTCATGATCTATACAGAACAAATTCCTTTACTAAAGAACCTTTGAAGAAACATCTTTGCCTTGCTTTGCGTCCTTCTAGCTTATTCTATTTAAAAAAGCTACAATAAAATACTTATGACAAACATGTCTTCTAACATCTTCACTAATTGCGTACACCAAGTTGCAGCGACCGCATTTGTAGAGGACTTTTCTATTTTGTGCACTGTTTTTTTAACATGGCGAGGATTATTTACATGTTGTTGCTGATTGAGAATGACACGCCCATTAAAGGAGAGAAAACGTTCCTCAAAACGCTCTGCTTCAAAGCACATCGTAATGTTTCGACGTTCAACCCGAAACCGTAGCAAAACAATGCACCATCTGAGACTGATCGGCACAGGTAGATCTCCAGGACCAGGAGCACCCCTGTATAATACATTGCTGCTGTCGGAACAAAAACTCCTATCTCCCTTTTTGTAGTTTTTCAGTTTTGACATAATGTGAAAACGCCTGTTGTCCCTTACATTGTGTGTAAATTCTATGATGAATGGACTAAATGAAATGGCCAAAAATTACTTGGAAAAGTCTGGTTACTGGCGTACGTTAAAAGTACAATTAGTTTTTTCGTGTTTATCGTTTTGGAGATACAACACGATGTATTATATTTGAAATTCATATATTGCCATATATAATATTCGTAGCCTATGGGTAGAGCAGTCCTGATAAATGCCAGCATAATACACAGATCTGTTTTTAGCTACCCGACCCCGCCCCCTCCCCCCGCCCTCTCCCTCCCTCCCCTCCCCTCCCCCCGCCCTCCCTTTCCCTCCCCTCCCTCACTCCCGCACCCTCCCCCACCTAGTTTCAGTATCCGTCATTCCTCACGGTGTCCTGTGAGTGGCGTTCTCCTTTTGAGAGCTCCGCCATGGAATAAACAGACCAGCCTCTCCTGTCTCTGCTCTGCTGTCCTCCTCCTGCTCGACCTCTCCAGGAACACAAAGGTGGAGGAAAGAAAAAGAGAAAAAGTGGTCCGGGGGTCTCACCGCGACCACACAGAGAACAGGATTATTACCAACAATCAAATAATGAGCTGCTTTGTGGCAGACACACCGTCAGCCTGAAACAACCGGAGTGAGCGTCGAAAACCACTGATAAGATGGCGAACGACTCTCCAGCTAAAAGTCTGGTGGATATAGACCTCGCCTCTCTGCGGGTGAGTAGCGCTGCGTTAGTCTGCATTACAGCACAGATAATGATAAACACAGTTCTGTGGATTCTGTGTGCGGGTTCTTCTCATTTGCATACTCCTGGATATGACCACTAAAGCTGGTGTGTTACTTTGTTATTGATGATAGAAACAGGTCAGTTTCCCATTCGCCAGCTTGTTGTTCGAATTTTCCCGTTCCACCTTAAATAGTGCAGCAGTTACATTCTGTATTGCATGCATCTGCGCAGCCGCTGCACAGTTTAAGGTGGAACGGAAAAATTGGAACAAGAAGCTGACTTCAGCTTCGTTCATTGATGTTGATCATCTGCTCTTTGTTTGCAAGACGGTAAAAGCAGCAGCTTAGCGCAAAACCTGCTCTTTCTTTGTTACTTTAAATCGACCTGTGTGCGTGACTGCACTGCACTGTGTGTTATAGTGTAGCTCTGTTGTGTCTTTGTTTTTAGGACCCTGCTGGGATCTTTGAGCTGGTGGAGGTGGTCGGTAACGGCACATATGGACAAGTATACAAGGTTGGTTTACCCTTTCTCTGTTATTTTATTCTTCTTTATTTATTTATTTATTATTGTTTTGTGTGCTTGTGGGAAGCCAAAGCTTTGTTTCCACCATGGAGATGGTCAGTAGGTTTAATCCAAATCCCAAACCTAATGGCAGCTAGGCCACTGCTCTGCATTTCCTCTGAGAGCTGAGAGCTGTCCAAGCAGAACCCCGGTGAGGTGGTCGGAGGGGCGTGCTGTGTGCAGAGCGCAAGGCTGCTTTGTGCTGCTCTGTTCCCGCAGTGCTGCTGGGTGTGATCCGCCTGCGCATTACTGACCGGTTGGAGCTGACTGGGGGGCTATTTGATAAAGATAGCTGGTTAACTTAGCTTGCTCTTTATTTAGTTTTTCATCTTAAAGGGCCCATCTTACAGCTGGGAAGTATGACAGTATATATCATTATTGTGATAAATTTTGTATTGTATTGTAACATAGTGCTTTTCTGAACATATCGTGAATATCGTCAGTGCTTGTGGAACACTGACAAACTGCATCTTTCATTATAAAGAAAAAAATGTTCCATTTAAATGGATTTAATGCAACACAGTATACCAACTATTGAATAAAAATCATTCATTATGTTAAAATGATTTAATTTTTGATAATAATTTTAAAAATGTAGCACTTCTGCTTTTTTTTTTAAGTTTCAACTGATTAGATATCTGAAAAAATAAATACAACATTGCAATATTATCTCAAGGCTAGCCCTCAGTTTCACATGTGAAAGAAACACATGGTTTTTGAATACTTTAATTGCTAAAAATGTGTGACCTCTTGTAAACGTGGTTTTTGCCCTCTTCACATGTGAAATATATGTGACTTTTCTGTAAGCGATATCGTACATTTGTCTTGCATTAGGAGTTACCTTGGCCCATGTCTACTCATTTTAATGATTTTCTTCTAATTCTAAGTTTAGTGATATTTTTACTGTGAACTGGCAGAAAAAGAATGCTGTTGGTCCTTTCTGTTGAAAGATTTTTGAAATTACTTTTTTCTGCCATTTTCTTCAGTTTGGCTTAAGTTGAGCGAGACTAAATTTGTGACGTCAGATTTGCCAAAGCACCAATCAGAGTTTGTACCGGTGTGTATACATCAGCTACCCGTGTTCTTCTCCATTGCACGAAGTGACTGATCTCCTCCTGCCCCAGACAAAGCTTCCAGCAAGCAACTTACCTGAGCTTCTCTGAATCTGTTATAAAGGTTTATTACACTGTTGTTTGTAGCTAGACGCTGCTTCCTACTTAACCACCACACCGGATCCTAATGTAGATAGTATTTGACATCACACTTGTCGACACCATATTGTTCACATACCAGTAGTCAGCATGGCAGCAACAGTGGCACTCATAGAGACCCTGTTTGTATAGCATTAGTTAATAAAGCATCCTGACAGACAAAATATACCCATGGTGTGCTGCATGCTTTATGGCTGTATAACAACAGCAACAGAAAATAAAATGCTGTGAGCTTAAATACATAAAAAGGCTTAAGAGCTCAGCCAGCCAAGGAGAAATCTTCAGTAGAGAGAAGAAACATGAGTAACTTTAAAACTTTCAGCATGTCCCAGTAACGTTCCCAAAGTCTGCTCTCATCAGTCTGACACAGCTAGACAGTTAGGAAAAGGAAGAGTGTGGAGTTTTGATAATTCTCCAGTGTTATTAGAGAATTATATTAACAATGGATAGTGACTGTTAATTGACTTTTGCAATTTATGTCTAGATCATATCTGCTTCACCTAGACAGTGAATACATTTAACACCAGAGCAATAACAGGGTTCACCAAGCATAAGCTAATGTCAAGCTGACACTGATTAACCCCATTAAACACATACACAGCCGTTATTCACTTTTGCGATCACAACAGTGTTTGATGGTGTGGTTGATTGTAGAGACAGAATATCGCTGACCAAATAATTGTATGATTCTAGTGATGTGTATGCTTTTAGCTCCTGTGATGTGTGTGCTGATACAATATGTAAGGTAATTACAGATGTCTGGATATGTTATTGCTGGCAATAAAGCACAATCTGGGTTCAAAGATAACATATCTATTTGGTACAAATCAACACCTCAGATCAAACGGATTTTTTTGTTCATATCTTGATTTGAAAGTAATAGCTAACACTGACTGCTCATACACACTATGCTGATGGAATGTCAAGAATACAGCCGCAGGACACTTTTTAAAAAAAATTGAGACGCTGTGAAAAATGTAAATAAAAGCAAAATGCAATGATGTGCATATCATTTAAACCCTATAGTTCATTGAAAATAGTACAAAAACAACATATCAAATGTTGAAACTGAGAAATGTTACTGTTTTTGAAAAAAATGCCCATTTTGAATTTGTTGCCAACAACATGTTGTCGGCAACAAAAGGCTAGTAACGTTGTGTAATGCTTAAAAAAACATGGGGTAGTTGATTGGCAACAGATCAGTAATATAAGTGGGTATAAAATGAGCATCACAGAGAGGCTGAGTCTTTCAGAAATAAAGATGGGGAGGGGTTCACCACTCTGTGAAAGATTGCACAATCAGATAGTGCAACAATTCAAGAATAACATTTCTCAAAGTAAGATAGCAAAGAACGTTTGCTTTTCATCATCTGTGGTACACAATAATATTAAAAGATTCAGAGAATCTGGAGAAAACGCCGGGGACAAAGCCAAAAACCAGTCTTTGCTGGCCGTGATCTTTGGGCCCTCAGGTGGCACTGCATTAAAAACAGACATGATTCTGTAGAGGAAATTACTGCGTGGGCTCACTTCTGAAAACCACTGTCTGTGAAAACAGTTCATCACTGCATCTACAAATGCAAGTTAAAACTCAAAAACGCAAAGATGAATATACACAGGATCCAGAAATGCTGCCACCTTCTCTGGGCCCAAGCTCGTTTAAAATGGACTGAGGGGAAGTGGAAGAGTGTCCTGTGGTCCAAAGAATCAACATTTGAAATCCTTTTTGGAAATCATCGACACTGTGTCCTCTGGGCTAAAGACCACTCAGCTTGTCATCAATGTACAGTTCAAAAGCCCGTATTCATGATGGAATAGGAGTGCATTAGTGCACATGGCATGGGTGACATGCACATCTGTGAAGGTATCATTAATGCTGAATGATATATACGTTTTGGCAACATATGCTTTGCTTATTATAGCAAGGCAATACCAAACCTCAATCTGCATGTATTACAACAGCATTACTCTGTATTAAAAGAGTCCAGGTACTAAACTGGCCTGCCTGCAGTCACCACTGATAACATTTGGAGGGTTATGAAATGAAAAATACGACAAATGAGCCCCCAAACTGTTGAGCAGCAGACATTCTATGTTAAGTAAGAATAGAAAACATTTCACTTTCAAAACAACAGCAATTGGTCTCCTCAGCTCCCAAACACTTAAAGAGTGTTGTAAAAGAAGAGGTGATGAAACACAGTGGTAAACATGCCCCTGTCCCAATGTTTTTGGAACGTGTTGTTGGCATCAAATTCAAAATGGGCATGTTTTTTTTCAAAAAACAATATAATTTTTCTGTTTGAACAATTTCATATATTGTCTTTGTAGTATTTTCCTTTAAAAATATGGTTTACATGATTTGCATATCATTGCATTCTATTTTTATATTTCTATAACGTTAGTGCCAAGCGTTAAAATATCATATGTGATTTGTTAGTGGTCTACCCATCATAAGATGAAGGCCTGAGTTTTGAAGCATTATCTGCTAAATGTAATTAGATTTCTAAAATGACCACCAGACAGCTATTCTTTTACACTTTTTACTTACCTTTGCAGCTGAGAAGAGTTTGATTTCTCTGTGGGGATGACAAACATTTAAGGCTGAACCTCACCGTGTCACCACAGTCTTTATAAGAAAGACTCTTTTTTCTTTAAAAGGGGAGAGACCAAACTATTTTTGAAAACACTGATAAAATGTGACAAAAGTCTCATAAATAGTTTGTAGTGTTTAGCTCAGTAAGGCACAAAAAAACATTTTTAAGGTTGTTTTGGCTGCTTCGTTTGCTTAGATCTCCACAGCAAATTTGCTGTGCCTCATTCAAAAAGCAGTCTGGGCTGAAACACTTCTTATAACTTCTGTACGAGTGGGCAGGCTGAACTGCTGTGGGCTGGATAGCTGTAGGCTGTGTGTGATATTGTGACATAGTTCATGATGACAATTGTCCATTCTCTCTGTATCCTTTAGAACGGTGGTATCCAACCCTGGTCCTGGAGAGCTTTCTTCCTGCAGAGCCTACTTCCAACCACTATCTGCCACACCTGCTCCAGCTAATCAACCTCTTCCCAAGTCCCTGATTGGCTGGATCAGATGCATTACAGTAAAGTAAGGGCCAGGGCAGCTTATTGGGTACAGGTTGGAACTAAACTCTGCAGGAAGGTAGCTCTCCAGGACCAGGGTTGAAGACAACTGCCTTAGGTCATCTAGCTAACAGAGGTCTTGCTTTGTGGTGTCAGGCTTTCCTTTCCAGTCTTTTTTTTGGCTTGGGGAGAACAGCATGCCCTGTTAACGCACAATGAGTAAAAGCTATTGAGTTATATGCTGTTGTGGAGCTGCTGATGGTTTGGTGTGGAGAATAATGATTGATTGTTCTCGTTTATAGATAAATGAAGAAGGCTACTGTTCTTTACTGAGTTCTTCCTTTTACTGTAAGGGATATAAGTATGTAAATTGTGCTATTTTTGGAAGCATCTCCGGCCTTTACGTTGAGACACTGGCAAGCTTCCGCTTAGCCTGCTATGGAATTAATTCTGCTGTTCCATCTTGAGTAATTAACTAACCATGTCAATTTGGAATAGAAGATCAGGGTGCGCTGAAATTTCAGCCACTGAAAAATTTTGTCTGAAAAACCATCAAAGTGAAAAAAGGCCAACAAAGATTCAGTAAGCCTACAAAGAAATAACAGTATCTGAGACTTTACTGGTAATTTGAATGCTAATGAAAATGAGAAATTCAAAACACTT